GATCTCGCGGTTCGTGACTTCAAGCCCCGCATCGGGCTCTGTGCTGACAGCTCGGAGCCCGGAGCCCGCTTCGGATTCTGTGTCTCCCTCTCTCTCTGCCCCTCCCCAGCTTATGCTCTGTCTCTCTCTCTCTCTCTCAGAAATAAACACTAAAAAATTAAAAAAGAAAAACCTCTGTGGCCTCATGGAAGAAATAAATACACATAGATTTTCATTGTCGTCTGGAGGGGAGGACCTGCTCTATATAGAATTTCAAATATTTTTTTCATGTAATATTGTGTCGTATTTTCCCAGATCATCGTTTGTCTCCCCCCCCCCCCCAGGGCTTTGTGTTTCCTGATTGACGTAGATGGTTTCGCTACAGTTTATGCAAACGTTCGCCCAACAGGCATCGCTTCCTGGCTTGTTATTAGCAGTAAACATCGCCGAGATGAGCTCTGAAGGTTGACAAGCAGATGTGTTAGCCCAGCCCCAGAACCGGGGACAGAGACGGGGGAGTGACAGTTCAGGCCATCTGCCAAGGGTCTGATTCTGGAGGAAAGGGGGACGGCTGTGGTCTCAGCTGGATCTGGACAGGCATTGATCACGCCGGCGTCCCATCTGAAAGCCGGGGCCACGTCGTGATGCGTGTTGAAATAGTTCTGCCAAATTTGCGCCATCATTAACTTTCAATCACTGTTAATTTTAGACAGCGCTCTTAATTCACGTTTTTTGTCTTTGTCAAGTTGATGGAGACGGGGCTGTTTTCAGCCTGACGTGATGGCCGCGGGGCGCTCCTTCACCCAGGACGGCAGGATGCCCTCCGCCGCAGCTGGTAATGAAATGCCAAGTGTGTGATTTAGCTAAACTGGCTTGGGGAGTTTACATGTGGAGCCAGCGTTGACAGGTCTGTTTTAGAACAAGTTGCTCCGGTGAAGGGAGCATCCTGTCTGATGTGCTGAGGGTGCAGTTCAGCCAGATGCTTGGGTACCAGCAAAAATCATTCCCATCCTGGTCCTTTGGAGCGACTCGCAGCGACTTCACCCTGGGGAGAGCTTCCGTACGGAGATTTCAAAAACGAAGATCTTGTTATTTTCTGTCCAGGAATCCAACCCTCCCGCCATCTTCTTCTCTCCAACGAGGGACAGATGGGCCCCTGTTTTCAGGATGAAGGATAGATATATTTTTTCTCCTCTGCTTTAAGCTATGATTTCTTAGGCCAGCATGAAATCTTCAGGCAGTCAGGGTCATGTTTATTTATTACAGGTGTATTTACATCAAATACAAATGCGCAAAGATGGGGACTCTTCATGGCCATGAAAGTGCAACCAATTTGGTTGATGAGAGTAACCTTGAAGAAAACTAGCACCTCTGTTAAAATTTACGCAGGCACTTCCCTCCCGGCCAATGTTTGTCATTGCAGGGCTCCGCTGGGATAATTTAAAGCACCTTATGGGGTGCCTCCCTCCCTACCGCCAGGAGAACACCTGTGTGCCAGACTTTGCCCATGTCATCGCCAAGTTGCTGTCGGTCCCACGGCCCACTCAGATGGTCCCTGGCGGCTGACAATTAACCCAGGTCTGTCTGACCCAAGCTCGGGCTTGCTCTGTGACGATCTCAGAGGATGGGTCGTATATGTCGTCTCGCCCCATTGTTCACCATGGATACAGACTAATTCTTGTTTTTTTTTCTAGTGTCGATTTATTTATTTTGAGGTGGGGGAGGGGCAGAGAGAGGGAGACAGAGAATCCCAAGCAGGCTCTGTGCTGTCAGTGAGGAGCCAGACACGGGGCTCGATCCCACGAACCATGAGATGATGAGCCAAAATCAAGAGTTGGTCACTCAACTGGCTGAGCCAGCTGGCTGCCCCTGCTTCATTGGGATTTCTAACTGCCTTTGGGTGAGACAGGCAGCAAAGGGGAGCCTCTTGGCCGATCCCCCTCAATTCCCCAGCAGCGCACACAGCCTGTCTTTGACCTGGTGCCATCGGTGTGTGAGGCACACACATTTAAACAGAAGAATTCTCTTGCCCCCTGGACCCCGTGCCTGGAGGCGGGTGGCGGCCGAGGATGCCAGGTTGGAGGAGCAGATCCAAGAACGGGCAGCTTTCCACGTGGACTAGCTGTAAAAATAAGGATTCTTCCAGAAATTGCCCATGGGCTACGGTTTACCCCTTGCTTTACTCGTTTGGACAAGGTCAGCGAGGGCTGGGTGACGCGACCTTGGGCAGGGGAAGGGCCGTCAGCTTGCTGCTGGGTCTGCAGGGTGGCCACGGGGGGTGGGGGGGCGACACAGGCTGTGTGGTCCCACCAGGCGGAGCTGGGACGGACTCAGGGAGCCAGGTTCGGCTACACACGCGGGGGGCTTTGGAAGGTGAGGCCGAACCCCCCCAGACCCTGAGGCCTTTTGGACTCTTTCTAAGCAGGCGTGAGGGACTCCCTGGGAATATGTCGCTTTGTCAGATTCACAAGAAGATCTCCAGGAAGTCCCCCCCCCCCCCAGATGGTGGTGTGGTTAGAAAACACGGTGACGGCAGCTGCAGAAATCTGCTTTTTAGAAATCGCCAAATGTTATTTTTAAAGCGCCTTTCTGAAAGCGCTTCATTCAGACGTTCACAGCATGGCTGTGATGACTGGCCTCTTTCCGGGCCGGGTCCCGCCGCCCGCCGGGGACAGGCACACCTGTCACAGGTCCCCAAAGATGGCTCCCAATGGCCACTTCCAGAAGAGGCGCCAGCCTCTGAGAATGCTCAGGGAAGCGGTTTCTGGAGATGTCACCGGGAGAACCCCCTCCAGGGCACAGTCTTCCCAAGGCGGCCACAGTCACGGCTGCTTCTGTGTCGGAAAGCCCAGATCAGGGCCTGCGGAGGCCACGGTCACCGATCTCAAAGATGACTTAACACTTGCCTGGGATCCAGGGCTTAACCCGAGCCCCACGTAAGCCTGGCTCTATTTGAGGACAATTGCTGCCCATGTATATGGATCTTGGCTGTGAGCCCCGTGGCTTTTTGGCTTTATAGAAATAGCATCCACAGGGAGGGGCTGGGCTTTCGTCGTCAGCTGGGTTTTGTACAGAAGCTGGAGTTGCCGAGACCTTTCGACAATCTCACTGATGCTTCCGATCGTGTTGCAGTTGCATTTGTGAGGTAGTGAGCTCCCTGTCACTGGATTCCTGGGTTGTTGTTGGGGGTTGGGAAGGAAGCTGAGGTGGGGTGTTCTGCATTCCGAGCAGCTGGATGTTTTCCAAAGTGTGGCACTTCTGCTCCTAGGGAGGGGCCAGGACAAGAGCGGCCGGTGACCCCAGGGGCCTGGAGGGCTGCCGATGTCGTTTCCATCTTCTTCCACGCTTGACAATAAGGGCACCACCCTGACATGCTCTGTGGGTCCCTTTAACAAAGCGAGGGCAGGCCCCAGGCCCTCGGCTCACTGGTCTTAGGCAGACCGCGTGTGTGCGGCAGGAGAGAATGAACTGTTTTTCTCCTGCTGCCCCTCGTACGACTTCGGGGTAAGTGATGCCCGCTTTCCGTTTGCGGAAACCATGCGAAGTTTCCTGTTTCAGGAAAGGAAGCGAATTGATTTAGGGAAACAGTAACGTAGCCTCCTGATGGGCGATTCTGGTGCAGATGCTGCAGCGGGGCCCAGAGCGATGGACACTGCGTTTCTCGAGCTGTTTGGCTGCTGACCTGACAGTGGTTCCTGGCCCTGTTTGGAGAGGATGACCATGGACCTGGGAGCCCTGCGGAGAGGGTCTGACACAGGTCTTCGGGACAGACACACAGAGCACCCGGCTGGGACATGAGTCCCCAGGGGGAGCAGGCTGTGCCCAAGGCTGCGTGGCATCGGAGGCCAGCCTTTCCTAGGAGGTGACATCGAGGGCTCCCCCATGGCAGCTGCACGTAAAAGAGCCCTTCTGCAGAAAGCCGTTTCTCAAAGCCACCCTGCTTCCTCTCCCCCTCCTCCCCCTCCCTCTCCTCCCCTCCC